GGAATTTCTGTTCAGGTATGGGCAGGCCTGGGTGACCTATGAGGGCCCTTCCAACTCTGTGATTCTGCCTGAGAGCTTAGCTCTGTCCTGGAGTGCTGTCTGGCTTTGGGCAAATCTCAGCTTCTTTCTTCACTTCTCTGAACCCACCACAATTTTGACTTCAGTGAAATGAGATGAGGACGGTCATGTATTACAGTAGAAAGCACTGGCTCTGAGATCACAAGACCTGGGTTCTAATCCTCCCTACTGGTGTTTACCACCCCTGTAACCTGAAGCATGTCATTGAACTCCCTGAATTGTACGAAGAGGGAAGGAGTTAGCCTAGAGGGCTGCTGAGGTTCCTTTTAGCTCGAGGGCTGATTACCCTATGGCCTCTCTAGCCTCAGTTTCCTCATGTGTAAAATGAGAGTTGAACTAGATGCTGGGACCTAGCTACTAGGACTGAGGTCCCTTCGAGCTCTGTGATCCTGGGACATCCTAGAGCCCTCCTTTATAGGATTAAAAATAGCTAGCACATACATGTGTGCATGTGTACATACATATATGTATATATGCGCTTGAAATATCATCTCATTTGATCCTTCCAACAACCCTGGTAGGTAGATGCTCTTATTATGCTGATTGTACAGAAGGGGATATTAAGATTAGAGGTTAAGTGACTTGCCCAGGGTCACATAACTAGTAAGTATATGAGGCAGGATTTGAACTCAGGTCTTGCTGACTCCGAGTCTAACATGTTATCCACTATACCACCGAGCTGTCCCAGAACCTCTTTAGTTATCTAATACAACCCTCTCATTTCGTAGACGAGAAAAATGAGGCCAAAACAATAAACTATCCAAAGTCATACAAGTAATCATTGGCAGAGTCAGGATTTGAACCCAGGTTTTCCTGCTCCTAATCCAATGCTCTTCCCTCTGCACCATTTAGCAGTGTTCTAGTGGAAAGGGTTTGTTAGTGCATAACGATTTCTATGTTGTTTCTCCCACTGGACTGAGTTCCTTGAGAGAAAGTGATCTTTTTTTGTTGGCTGTCCCACAGTTCTTGGCCCAGTGCCTGGCACACGATAGGCACTTAATAAATGCTCATTGACTTGACTTTGGAGCTGTAGCCTTGTAGGGACCTTCTGTCTCCTCCACACTGACTTTGCCAGAGCTTTTTTGCTTAGCAATATTAAAGGTGGCAAGAAGGACAAGGAATAGGCGACTGGCAAGCCAGGTGGTCATGTTAATAAGCGAGCCAGATCTGCAGACAAGCAGAGTCGAAGGACCTGGACTTTGGAGTCCAGCATGGCCAGTCACTTCCTCCTCTGGGTCTTGGTTGCTCTCCTCATTAGTCAAACTATTTGGGCCCAAAGGTCCCATAAAGCCCTGAATCCTAGGGTGCTATGATTCTCCCAGTACTTGGGGAAGGCTGAGCAAGATGGGGCCTGATGAGGCAGCAGAGGACGTGCAGGGAGGGCAGGAGGGACCCACCTGTATCAAAAGGCTTTGCCCCTAAAGAGCAGTTTCCTGTCCTAACCACTAGGCGGCTTCCTAATATAATATAATATAATATGGAGGGGCTTTGTGTGGTGTCTGAAACTTTCTAACTCAAATGTGGCCAGCCTGGCCAGCCCAAGGGGCTCATAGGTGGGAGGGCCCAGCCCTGAAACTTCCATAGGATTTGCCAAGCAAAGGGGCCTGCTTTCCTCAGGGATCTAGTGGGGCTGAATGCCCAAAGGTGCATCTTCACCGGTAACTATGAAATCTAGTTCTTCTAGACCACGGATCAGTCACCCAAGGCTGAGTAGCTCTCTATCACCACCACCCCACAAAGCACATACCCCCACTCTACCTGCCCTCTATTCTTCTCTTTTCCCTTTACCCCTGCCTATACTTTAAACCTATCTAATACCCTTGAAAAGCAGGAGACAGATACCTTTCCAATTCCCGGCTTCCTTTTGGAATAGAACCATAGGGGTGTTTGCTCTTCAAAAGGTTTAAAGCTGGAAGAGACCTTAGAATCTTCCATTCAGAATCACTACTGCAAAAGATCTCAGAATTCATACCTGCCATAGAATTGGCTGTGCCTACCTTGTAGACTTTTCTTGGAGACTTGAAGTGGGAGGAAGGGGGACCCAGGACCCCACTACCTCCTGAAGCAGCTCATTCCATTTTGGGATAGCTCTCATTATTAGACATTTGTCCTTACCTTAAACCTCAAGTCCAACCACCCCCCTCATTTTACAGACCAGGAATGTGAGACCTAGAGAATGTAAGTGACTTGCCCAAGGCCATCCAGGCTGCTAAGAGGCAATGCTGAGATTCCACTGGAGGGGCAGGGAAGTGGAAAGGGTGCTGGATTTGGAGCCAAAGGAGCAGGGTTCAGATTGCAGCCACTTGCTACTGCTATGACGGGCTACTTGGGCAAGTTACTTCTCTCTGAGCCTCAATATCCCTTTCTGTTTTACAGAAGGGGTTGGACTAATAACCTCGAAGGTCCGTCTCAGCTCAAAATCCTGGGACCCTAGGACCCTGCCCCAGGGTCCAGATCCCAGTTCTCTCCTCTCACCCCAATCAACTAACCTCTCTGGGCCTTGGTTTCTTCATCTGTAAAATGAGGGGGGTTGGGCTAGATGACACATAATGTCCCTTTTAGCCCTAAGCCTCAGATCCTCTGATTTGAGGTCCAGGATTCTTTCTATTACACTGGACTGCCACCTACCTCTAACACAGGGGTTCAAAACCTGGATTAAAAAAAGAAGTAATAAGTTCTTGAACTTATGTATTTTTAAAAAGAATTTTGGATAATTATTTCAACGTAATTGGTTTCCTTTTTAATCTTATGTTTTATTTAATGCATTTAAAAAATGTGTCTGAGAAAAGTTCCATGACCCAAAAAAGGTTGAGAACCCCTTTTGAGTGTAAAGCCCCTTAAAGAATCATAGGATCTTTGCAGAGAATAATGAGGGTCTTGAGTTGGGAGACCTTGATTCAAATCCTGGAACTGATAGGGGACGTGTGATCAGAGGCAAGTCATTGAACTTTTCTGGAGACTGGGGCTTCCCCAGTGTAAAATTCAGGTGCTGATACTTCTCTCTACCACACTGCGTTTGGAAAAAGATCACCCTATGCAACTAAGTTATGACACTATTATTATAATACTGTAAATGATAAGATGTTAGAATGATCACACCACTCTCTCCCCAGCCCCAATCCCCGTTGCTTACAGAAGACCCTTCAAAGAGTGGCCCATTGAAGCAGTCTCATTGACAGCTTTTACTAAGGCTCTTTAAGTGAGTCACCTCCCTAGACTTCCTCCTAGAGGAAACGCTAACTAGAGCCCTCCCCCAGGCAAGAAGAAACTTTATTTGGGGGTGGTCAGAGGGCACAGGCAGTGTGCATCACGCTGGTTCCGGCCACAGCAACAGATCTAAGCAGAGGAAACCAGACTTGTGTGGAACAAGGGACATTTCTTAAAATGTACTAGCATTTGTTATTAAGGCTCTCTTGCAGTGATGAAAGGAGCCCATTGGGGGTACAGATAAGGAATATGTGCCCCAATAAACTCGATGGGGGTGGTGGTGAGAGGAGAGAACTGGGATCTGGAGCCCTGGGGCAGGGTCCCTGGGTCCCAGGATTTTGAGCTGAGACGGACCTTCGAGGTTATTAATCCAACCCCTTCTGTAAAACAGAAAGGGATATTGAGGCTCAGGGATAAGTAACTTGCCCAAGCAGCAGAGCTGGGCTCAGTTCTTACTCCAAATTCAGCTCTTTCCACCACTTGATATCGTTCTTGAAACTGCCGCAAGAGACTACAGTCCAGTTGAACAGGAAAGTCGGCAGCACGAGGGAGCTGGGTCAGACCTATGGAAGAACGTGCCCAAGGTGAATTGCAGACGTGGCGAAATTCTACCCTTTTCTGGAGGGCTTTGAGGTTGCGCTAGCTAGTCCTAGGTCTGAAGGAGGCGGCTCCCGGACCTCTGTGGACCTCCAAATTTCCCTCCCAGCTCTAAATCTATAGTCCTCTGGCTAGACGACCTGGGATAAACATTGTGGGCAGATGGTTAGAACGAAGTGCCTCCGAGTAACCCCGGTCTCCTGCTCCAGACGTGGGGTGGAGTATCTTTCTGGGTGCGTAACCTTTCGCCCCAGCTTGGGTAGCTGCCTCCCTAGGACTGGAGGAAGGTCTTAGAGAGAGGGGCTGGCCCCAGCTCTCGGTTACAGCGTGCTCGAGTTACAGAGGCGAGTCCAAAGGGCACGCACATAACAGCAAGTCCCAGCTTGCAAACGCAACGCCCCGGAGAGTGAGAGTGAGTGTGCGTGTGTGCGTGTACGTGTGGAGTGTAGGTGCGCGCGCGCGCGGGTGCACAGGGGCGCGCGCCCCGAGATAGCGCGGGCCAAGCTGGTGGGGGGAGGGGGAGGGGAGACCACAGTCAGCCACTCACAGAAACAGTAGTGAAATCTCCCGAACACTTTAACTGTCAATCAGACTTAATGGGGTATAAAAAAAAAAAAACCCTCCATCTGTGCTGCCGGGGAAGGAGGCAATGGAGAGACTGCCTACGAGGCAAGGCTGACAGGGGGTGCATCTTGTTCGCTCTCGGAACCCGAGGACTTCAAGTTGGGGGCGGAAAAAAGAGAGACAGCAATAAATGCTCCAGGAAGAGAGAGAGAGCGGGGCGAGGGAGGGAGGCTGAATCGAGCGGCAGCAGCCCCTTTGCTAGGCTAGCCCCCGGGAGCCAGAGAGAGAGCGAGGGGGAGTGAGCGACGCACGTAGAGAAACTGACACCGGGACCCCCCACTTCTCCTGCAAAGTGCTGGCAGTCAGATCTCATTTAAGCAATTTCCTGCGCGTAAGAATAGCTATGAGTCGGGAGGCGTTCGCCGACTGAAATTGGCTGAAACCTCAGCCACTTCTCCCCCCCCTTCCCTTTTGGGGGGGGGCTGGATTCCGCTTTTTGTTTGTTTGGTTTTTTTTTTTAAGTCCTGTACTTTGAGACTTGCGAGGCTGTGGCTGCGTGCGCGCTTGTGGTTGGTGCTTCGTCCCCCCCCTTTCCTTCCTAAACTCCCCATATCTGTCAGCCAGTAAACATTACCTGAGAAATCCCCAACGGAAACGACAGCTGAGGCAAGAAGCTTCTTGCCTTCAACGTTTCCACCTCCCGCTCCCCGCCCCCAACCCCCCCTCCTGCTGTCCCAACTTTCTGAAGTGCCTTTTCCCTACCTAAGCAGGAGTCATCTCTTTGACCCCCACACCCGCTACTTTGCATTTTTAGAGGGGACCAGGTGGGGTTCTCTTTCTCACCACCCCCCACAGACACGTCGCCCCCACCCGACTTATTTATTATTTGCTTCTCTTTTTTGGTTTTGGGCTGCGGGTGTGTAGTTTTGCACAGGGGGTATCTCCCCCCTCCCCCGTCAACGTCTCCCCCCACCCCTCGGAGGATGGTTTGGAAATGGCTGGGCGCGCTGCTGGTGTTCCCGCTGCAGCTGATCTATTTGGTGGTGAAAGCGGCCGTGTGTCTGGTGCTGCCCGCCAAGCTACGGGACCTGTCCCGGGAGAGCGTCCTCATCACCGGCGGGGGAAGAGGCATCGGGCGCCACCTCGCTCGGGAGTTTGCTGAACGCGGAGCGAGAAAGGTGAGCGCGGGCCGGCGGGGCAGCCGAGACGGGTTAGGGGCTGGCCTGTGGAGGCGGGGGTGCGGATCGAGAGTACTGGAGAATTTTAGGGTAGAAGATGGGGAACTGAAGGGGGAGAGAGAGGATATCGCACCTGCTACTAGAGCTAAAGTCTCCCTCTCTGCCCTGTGTTTTGGGGGAGTAATCAGCTTTCCGCGCTCCCCGGAAAATAAGAATGCTGACCTAGTCAATTTCACCTTGTAAATTTCCCCTGGGATTGGAACTGTCTGGCAGGTCCTGAGCTGTCTGTTCACTTCTGTGGCCTTGAGTGAGTAGCTCCCCCACCTCGAAACCTCCTAGATCCAATCCTCTCCCACATCCCGCCCCCTCCCCAGGTATTCTTCCCGTAGTCCCTCTCCCCCACCCCACCCCCTTCTTTTTTCCCCTTTGCTGCAGCTGGGGTGATTATTGTAGGGCGTGTGCGTGGTTGAGCGTCTAAGAAGCTTCTCACAAGTTGGCACTTTTCAATTTTCCTTGGTGGCTCCATTCCAAGCCCCAACCTGAGAGCCAGGAGATGTGAAATCTCCGATGAAGGCGGGGGAGGCTGTGTGGCAACTGTGGGCGCCTTCTGCTCTGTTCTCCTGGATGGTCCGGGCACCCAGCCATGGCCAGGGAGGTCAGGGCAACTGGGAATCCAGCAATAGGGGTGTGTGTGTTCGGGGTGGTAGTGGTGGGGAGATTTCAGTCAGCCCTTGTTCTGTCTCTTAAAATACATATATATATTTAAAATTAGAATTCCTTCCTCCTGCCCAAATAAGTGGGGAGGTAACTATATGGAAGGAAGGGCCAAGAAGTAGGAATCTCCATTCTGGATCCCTGCTGTTGGTGGACTGTGCCCTCTTCCTGGGTTTGTTGGAGTTTTGGGGGGGGGTGACTCACCCAGTGAGAAGAGCACTCTGAAGAATCCTATTTGAACCATGTGAACTGGAGGAACAAAAACATGGATTTAGTTTGGAACTTAAACTGTTGTGAGAGGTGGGGGGGGGGGGGGAGGCCAACAAAGTCAACTGACATGACATGGAGCTGCATACCTTGGGGATTAAGTAAATATGTACTGTATAAAACCAAACCTGCATGTAATTTCAGGTTGCTTTTGTTTTGTTACACACTGCAGTGAGATTTACAATTCCTTAGAGGTTGCTTGGGACCAGGAACTGAACTTTGGAGCCCGAATGACCAGGGAAAGAGCAGATCATTTGTTCATTAACTTTTCACTGGCCTGCCCCATTGGTCACAGTGTCTGGCCCCTGGTGGGCTTTCCATGGCTCCTGCTCTCCTTGCTTCCCGCCTCTCCTTGGGTGGTTTGGGCAGCTGCTTTGCCTTGCCCTTGGATGTGGGATGGGGGGGGCACGGGTGGAAAGAAGTGATAGCCTGGAGTGTTTTTAACCCCTGGTTGAACAACATTGAACATCCAGAAGCATGGGCTGTTCTCAGCAGCTTGATATCCTTGGAAAGACGCCTTCATTTTAAAGATCCCCAAATGCTTTGCACACAGGAGTCCCTGGCCTGGGTAGAGCTAGGCAGAGGAGGGGCAGGCTTAGGGATGGAGGTATGCAGCCTGCCTGCACTATAGATCCAGAAAATTGTCCATAGCTGTCATTTTCTTACTTGTCAACATCCCCGGAGAGACTTTCTTGTGAATCATGCTGCTGGCACAAGGGCTGGATCTCTTTAACAATCTCCTGCCTAATTGGTTGCAGTGGGCACAGGGAGAACCCTTTGAGTCAGCCTGGAAAAACTTGACTGATGATAAACCAATCCCATGTAACATTGGATTGAGAGGACCAGAAAGATAAGACAAGGAAGCTTGCTCAATCTCTGTGGTTCTTTCAGCAACTCCCCAACCCTGCCCCTGAGCCCCCACCAAGACTAGGATGGATCTCATCCTCCAACCAGTAAACTCAGGGTCATTAAAAATGGAACTTGCACAGATCTTTTTAGCTCATGGAGTTCAGAGGAGCTGTGGGAATCAGTAACAATAATAGCAACTCAAGCAACAATAATAATAATTTAACAACACCCCATATTTGTAAAGCACTTTTCATAGATTACTTCAACAGACTGCCTCTGGCTCACATTGCCTCATTGGCTACTGTTGTTTAGTCCTATAAAAGCAGAAACAAGGGTCCTCTACCATTTCTTGTTAGAGAGAACTGAGTCTAGACTAAGGCTAATTGTGGTGGCTTTCCTGCTACTCCCATAACCGAAAAATTTTGAAGAGTTACCAACTTTCCCCGAGGCGATCTCCAGGCCATTCCATTTCTGGCCAGTATCATAGGTTACCTCCTGACCACATTTCCCATAAGTATTTTAGAGCCCTGTGAGTTCACGAGGAAGAAGTGTGCTCTAGGGGTTCAGAAAGACTGTGACAATAGTTAACCGTGCAGGGTGGGGATGCCTATTTGAAAGAGAGGCATCTTCTCATTCAGGGCTGAAGCGAGCATGTGGTTTGGGATGATCTTACAAAAGAGCTCTTCTGCAGCCCCCAAGCAGCCCTGCAGTTTACTTTAGGTAGGAGGCGATGTTTAACCACAGATTGCAAATGAGAATCCTCCTTTGGTTGGGCACATTGAGATATGGGGGGAGTGGATACTATATCAGCAGAAGAGAGCCCATCTAGCCTGAACTCTGGGTCCAGATCCAGGAAATAATAGGAATGATGCCAATTGTATGCATGAAGCAAAGTTGGGAGTGGCTGATGGTAGCTGACATCCGGGAGATGTCTCCTCCCCTCCCTTACCTTGTAAGAACGATAATGATTATGATCATAATGTTATGAATGTATATAGGGCTTTAAGGCTTGCAAGGGGCTTATATCCATTATCTCATTAGAGGTTCCTTTTTAAAAGAACCCAGTTGGCTATCAAGGCCATTTGGATGCCTCCTGCCAGTGGGACTGATGTGCCAGAAGCCACAGGGTCCTGATTCCAAAGGCTGTAGACAGGTGTTGTTCCAAAATATGTATCTGAGTTTTAAGAAAATGAGGAAATGAATTTAAATGTTTTTTAACCTGGAAGAGACTGCTTCTTTCCTGTCAGGTATAATGGAACGTGATCTCTCCCTTCTGAAATGGCTCAAGGGTCTTGCCTGTATCTCTCCTTATACTTCTTACACTCTCCCTTGTATTAGTTGCTTGTATGCTTGCCTCTCTCCTCATTTGATTATAAACTCCTTGAGGGCAAAGTCTATGCTCCCCCCCCATCTTGTCTTTTTCCTCTTAGTGCATTTCCCAGAGTAAAAGTTAGCTGTTAGATCAAACTGGATAACTAAGGCAGGGGTAAAGAGTGGTTAGGTAATCCAAATTAAATCTAGTTGGCATTCCCTCCTTGGGACAAACACTCAATAAACACTCCCATTCTTGACCAAGGAATTGAGCTTTCCAAATTACCTTTCCATCCATCAGCATTCTTTGGGGTTGACATGACCTTAGCACGAGTCACTCAGAGAAGAGGAAGATGTACTGTTTGTTTGGAAAATCCAAGAGACCGGATGGAAGTATTTGCCATACCCAGTCAAACCTTTGGCCCAGCATTGGGTAAGCAGTTTGAGCAATCCAAGATGACAACATTTGACACTTGGTCATCATTTCAAACCCTGGGAGAAGGTAGGGGACACATTGAATTCTGGTCCCAATGCTTTTGGTCACTGGGTCTAGCTGTCAATTGGTAGGCATCCATCCAGGCTCAGAAATGCATTCCATGAGGGTGATATGATAACTGGGGTTGAGCCACATTTGTGCAATTGATAACATTTTATTTATAGAGTGAGATGTTAACAGTACTGTTTTCTGATCATTCTCTCCAGAACTGGCCCTTTAAAGAGATTTATCGATTCCATTTCTTCTTCATTCAACAAACATCTATTAGGTGGATACAGGGTATGGGGCATGGCATTAAGGAAGCCTTGGTACCTCTTTAAATTATTTTGAATTACTTTGTACATACTTTGTATGTATTTGTCTGAGTACAGTTCCTCAGCTGAATGAATGGTTGAATATAAGCTCTTTGATGGGAAGGATGTATCCTTTTTCTTAGTGTTCCGAGTACCCAGCACAGGGCCTTCCATGTGGATATTTGTTGAATCCAATCAGGGTTAAGGAGAAAGCAAAGGATACAAAGATACAATATCTTAAGATAGAGTTCCTGATGAAACACATGCATGAATAACTAATAATAGACATGAATTTGAGAGTTACAAAACAAAGTTAAGGGTCTCTGTTTGCCATCTCCATTATCCTGTCACCCCTCCATCCATAGCAGTGAGTTTTCCAGTTTTGCCATTGGGAAGATCAACACAAAGTCTTGACTTCTCAGGTGTGAATTTTAGGATAAGATCATCAATTGCATATAATCCAACTGCTTCAAATTGCAAATGATGAAAACTGAGACTGACAATTCAAATGACTTGTCCAAGGCCACAGCTAGTATTAGAGATGAGATTTGAATCCAGGTGCTCTGAAACCAGAGTCAGTGTGCCCTTTCCACTATACCACTCTGCTGCTAGTATCCTACAATCCTTTATCGATACTCAAATGGCCTCTCCTCCCCTCCATCCTCCGTCCAATCTGGGAGAGGTTGTACCACCCTGAATAGCATCTCTGATCAATAACAGGGAAGTTTTTTATTTGTTGTGATGTCCTGACAGGACATATAGATGTTGGAAATATAAAACTGGAACTCAAGAGTGAGATAAATTGGCAAGACATGTGCTGTAGAGGTGATGATGGAAGCCGTGGGAAGAGATGAGCTCACCAAGGGAGAGACTGTCAGAACAGAAGAATAGATGAGAGAATCTTGGGGTACATACATGTTGCAGGACCAGGAAGTGGAGCTAGCTGAAGAGTCAGAGAAGACGCACCCAGAAAGATTCAAAGAAGTGAACTGTCTCAGAAGGAAGCCACAGGGGAAGAGAGGACCGAGGAGGAAGACGTGGCCCATGTCATCTAGTCACGTGGCCCAGAG